AGGCTTTTGGATTTGAATGGGCTCCTTGGGTTTGTTTGGAACTCAAAAGATTGTTGTTCCTTTCCTTCACAACTACAATTTTCAGGGCAAATCATTAAATGAAATATGTGTAACTCCCTGGGCGCGGTGGGGGCTGGGGGAGTGGCCCTGGCTAGTTTTGTGGTTCATTTTACCCTCTCAAACTCACATTAATGGGGTTTTCCTCCTTCATTTCTTCTTGTTTTTTTGGAAGTAAGGCCAGTCAGTGCTGAAAGAGATGACTTCTTAAGTTGTGGATTTTCAGAACGTTTTGTAATCTCTTTATCACACTGGAATTTTTTTGTTTTGAAGTAAGGCTTGTTTACCAGCTTCATCCCCTGGACCATCTTGGTAACTTTTTCCATTTGAAATTCCGATGCCCTCTCCCTCCAGGCTGATATGAAATGTTTGCTGCTGATGGTGACTGTGACTGGTTGGTGTGTAGACACATTTTACTTTTTCTGTTTACCTCAGGCCTTGGATGAAGTAATTGATCACTAAAGAACTACCGTGCTGGTGAGATGTGTAAGGTGAGCCGGCAGTTAAAAGGGATCGACCTTTTTTTCCTTTATTTTAATCAACTCGTGAGGGTTAGGCCGGGACTAAGTAATTTGATGGGGTCCACCTTTATTTTCCAAATCATTCATTCTGTCAGGTGGGCGTATAGGCGAGGCTAGGTTTTAGAAAGAAAAACACAAAAACAAAAACAAAAACAAACGTACCAAACTTTCTCAGTGGCTCCAACATATACTGCCCTGGTGGAGCTTACCCAGAGCCGCATACTGTTAGCAGCTGTCTTTGATCAGGATCTTCACCAGGGGTGCTTATAGCTTGCCTATTTAAATTTCCTTGTGTAATTTTAGTTGGATGTCTTCATTTTACCCATGTTTCGGTGTCCATGTGTAAGTCCACTTACTCTCCGTGGACAGTCAGGGATTGTGTCTGTGGGTCTTGTGTGCCCACAGACGGTGGGACTCTCGTGACGGACGTACACCATTGCCATTGCAAAGAATCATGTCAGGCAGATTGGTCACTCCTGCTTTTATTTTCTGAAAAATGGAATAGTACTGGTCTCTCTCATAGTTATTTTGAAATAAAAAGGATAGCGTCGAGTTTTGTTTCGCTTACTAAGGATAAGTCTGGTTTGTCATTATTTTCTGGTCACACTTGGTGTGTGAATTCAAAGCGTTGCTTTATTTAATGTAACTTCTAATGCTTTGGATTTAAAGGACATTGATCATCGTGTTAGTAAACAGTTGGCATTTAGCACATGAGGAAAAGGAGAAAAGTGTGCTAATTTTACATTTTCCACAAGCAATCTTCTGAACTTTAAACATATTTTACTATGATTTATTGAGAAAATTAAGTTATGGTAGGTTGGTTACCGCAGGTTTTTTTGTTTTGTTAGTTTTTTTTAACACATCTGGGTAGCATTTGGGTTTTGAAATTCATATCTATCACAACATCTGTTTAAGAAGAGTAAGCTGTGCTTTATTTTTTTTGCAGATTGAAGCATACAATTGACATTTTACCTTAAAAAAAAAAAAAACTCAGGAGAGAAGTGGACATAAACTAAGATACTTTTGTGAGTGCACGCATCACATTTGCTTGCATTTGAAACTCAGCAGTGCTTGTGTGTATTACATTTATTTTTATTCTTTGAAGAGCAAATGTGGATTTTAAAATTTATTTTCAGCTTATAGATGGAGGCATATTCTTGCCATAGGCTTCCCAATCTGAAACTTTTATCTTTTTTTAAAAAATTTACAGATTACTTTGTGGAAAGGAACCAGTGACCTGCTTTTTGGCCTCTGGTGATGTTCATTTGTAGTCTAAAATTTAATATTTAGAAATAAGTAATCTTGTGTGGCTAGTGTTGTTTGGCCTGTATTGTGTCAAGACGTTTTCCACAGTTTTCACACATGTGGACCATGTGAAGTGCTAGTATTCACTTCAAAGTGAAGTTAGTGGTTGGCCACCAAACAAGTTGTTACACAAATTCTTCTAAAATGGGAAATACCATAGTATTGAAGGTTGTGGCGAAGTAGAAGTCTGTGTCTTTGAGCTCAATAAAGACATAGCTTTTTTAGTCTGTCCTTTTGGCTGGGAAGCTAGGACACTATTTTTAGGTAAGGCTGTAGTTTTTGGGAGCCAGTAAGTAAGTACCTCTCTATCAGCTGGTAAACTTTTGCAATTGTTAGCAAGAAGTTTCATTTTCTGACACCATAAATATTTAATCTGCATTGTTTTAAAGTCCATATACATTTATGGAGTGTCCAGTGTTTTACCAGAGAGAGAGAGGACTGATGCCAAACAACAGGAGAAACCATTCCTACTTGCAAAGGGCCTTGTGCAGTTTAAAAATATACAGCATGTTCATGAATGGCTAAGAATATATTGCAGAGGGACTACAAATAAGTAGACCAGATCTTATACATGCATTTTTGTTTTCTCTTTAAGAACTAGGCTTGGTATTGGTATTAAACACAAATTAGTCTATAATTGTCCGTCAGACTATATTTAAGAGCCAAATATAGGCCCAGCATAAGACACAAGGTCCTTTGGCTGTTGTTTCAAATGCATAGAAGATTTTAGGGCCAAGTTTATCAACTCACATGGGAGGGGGAGGGGCTACTTAAAAATTATAAGCAAGTTGTTCTGGTTGTTTATTTTTGTAAACTTAGGTAAGTGTACATGCCAATATAATTTGTTTTCTAAGTAATATTTTGAAATGTCTTCTAGGAGAGAACTATGATATGTGTGGAGAGTGTGGCCACACCAGCTTACAGTTCACTTAAATTGATGGGTGTAGTCAGGATTATTTCTGTAGCATTGGCTAGAAGGAGCATAAAACACAGTGGTCTGTCACTTCAGTGGTGGCTGAGTAATACTTTTGAGTAATCGTGAATTTAATAGAGTTAATAATTCTTTAAAAAATAATATTGTAGATGTAGCATGGAGACTTTTAATTTACATATAATAATTTTTAAAAAGCTACCATCTGTTTAAAGCATTGAAAGTTTTTCAACATACTACCAAACAGTCATACCAATTTGTTTACTTGTGTCAATTGTACTGGGTTACTTTTTCCAAGAGCAGAAAATTGTCTGGTAAAACCAGAATTTGTATATTCATCTTGCTTTTGAACAAAAACAAATAAACAGAAAACCAAAACTAATTGATTCATCCACAAGGTTCTTCAAAGAGTACATAGCATATTTTTTGACTGAACCATTCTGAAATGTGAATGTTTGTGATTTTTGTTATTTCTGTGCCACATTTGAGGTGTTCTTGGCACATCTGAATTTGCCTTTTTGCTTTCTTTTGTGGAAATTCTTGTGAAAAATAGTCCTATAAGGCGAGCTTCCTATCAGTAGGCATTATGTGTAACTAATAATTGTTTTAAGATTTTTATTTTTATTCACTTATTTCATGCGTAACTGATGCATGCTTATAGGGAGCAAATATGAGCAGTACTTAAGTGTCTGAAGTAAAAATTGAATAAAAGGGAAAGTCTCTGTTCTCCTTCCTCCATCTTTAGTCGTGTTCTCCTGAGCTGACCATAGAAAACAGTTGGTGTCATTTGGCTTTTGGGAGAGCTCTCTGGTGCTGAGGTGTATTGGTAGCAGTGAGAGCAGAGGGAGAAATAGGGAAGGCCTGGCCACTGAACTGTTCAGGTGTCATGCAGGCGCTATTCCACTCATTTCCTGTGATGTTAAGTAATATTGATAATCTTAAACTACCAGCAGTTGAAGATAACGGCGATTGAAACACTCCAACGGTTAATTCCAGTGTCAGATTTGTAAAGTTTTTGATTTGTGGATATTTTAAGGAAATAAATATTTATGAATAGAAGTCATATAACTATAGGGCTGAGTTAATGGTGATAATTACCATCTGTGGGATTGTATCTACTGGTGGCTTTTTATAACTTATTATCTCTCCTTTAATTCTCATAACAACTCCAAATAGTTGTTGTTATTTACATTTTGCAAAGGAGGGAATGTAGATTAAATGTGAGCTAACATAACAGCACAATGCTGGTAAGGAGTGGTGCTGGTGTTCTGGCTTGGAGAGCCCGTGCTCTTTCCATTGTGCTCTCCTGCTTCTGTCCCGTCTGTCTTTATTCTCCAGACAAGGACTTTTAGGCCTGGAGAAGTCAGATGATTTGTCCAAGGTCACACAACTGAGTAGTAGCAACTTTAAACCAAACTTATATCTCTGGACTCTTATCTCAGAACTCTTGGTCCTGGCTGGTTATGCTACATATTTTTGAAATATTGTGGACCAAAAGACCATATGCTGTGAATATTGGATACAAATGCTTCAGCACTGTGTCAGCAATGGTATTTTCTACCCTGTGTTTAAAAGCTCCCGTCTCTCTCTTTCAGAAATTATAAAGAGCTCTGATGGGCTATTTGGGTGATACCCAGTGCAGTGAACTGCAGGTGAGTAAAATATATGAGAGCCTTGTTTAGAAAACAAGAACTTGGTAATGTGCGAGAAAGAGACAGGGGAGATCTCATCTAGATGAGAATTTCTGGCCAGAAAGTATGAGGTGGGACAGGGTGGAAGAGTGGTGACCTGAGGTGCGGGTCCTGACTGCAGTGGCTGCTTCTGGAACAGACTGGACGATGCCGAGCAGCCTCTGCAGAGACTGCCTGCCGCTTTGTCAGTCTGTATGAAGAGAAGTGAGGGTAGGTTAATCTTCCACTCTGTTCTGAATGAGTAACTGCACAGGGACTCAACCTATCAGCGTGATTGGAACTGGAGAGGTCCTTCAGTTTTTATGTCAACATTCTTGAGTGGTAATCACCCTATGCTCTGATGAACTTGGTTAACTATTAAATTGTTTGTTTTTTCTGTTATCTGCCATGCATATATTGTCATGAGTGACTATATATTTGCATCTTAGAGGATCTAGATATCGAGAATACATCAATAGGAACAAAAGTTTAAACTTTTCCCCTAATGGTTGTGTTCCCTCCACACAATGGTTGCAATAGTCCTTCAAATTATTTATCTTTTGCTGAAATGCTCTGCTACTAGTAAGTAAAGGAATACATATTATTTCACAGTAAGCTATCTTCTTGATTCCTTATAGTACTTTGATCATTCATTATTAGACTTAGAAAATGGTAATACTATAGAAAAACAATGAGAAGACTGTTTTCATATTGCCCTTGTGGGGCATCAGTGCTAAAATTATTTTTTGATTTATTTTCAATACTAGTCTTTAAACATGACCAGCTCTAGAAAACTTCATGTGTTAATAAAATGACTTGCCATCCTGCCTTTTGGAATCTGGCTGGGTAAGATTTATAAGACATTGCCAGCTACTTTTTACCCATCTCTTTTAAGCTGGAGTTTTTAGTTTTCTGTTCCTTATAGTTCAAATAACATTTTTCCCTTTTTAGGTCGATGCTCAACTACTGAGCCATGCCAGCCGGGCTTATTTTTTTTTTAAACATTTTTCCCTTTTTTAACTGTACCAGAGTCTCCTGGCCCCTAGTGCTTTCATTTGTCCACCAGTCCATACTGTTTTTTAACTGTGACAGTCCACCACTGAGCCAGCAAGTTCTTTGAGAATCCTGGAGACTTTAATGTGACCCTATTCTATACTTCTGGGATTTATAATTGGATTTGGGCTTGGCTACTTGCTTATTGCTCAAATATATCTGGTTGTAGGGATTCTTGAATATATACTTGTTTTGCACGATGCAGCCCCCACGGGTTCCTGGGGGTGATCTGAAGACCGGTTGAGGTGGCTTGTTGGTCCTTGGAAATCTGGGATCTGAGGTTGTCATAGTTATCATGATAAGGAGGGAGAGTAGGAGAGCTTCCAGTTAAGGCCAGAGTGAGCTGTACAAGGGAGGGGCGGACCTCTTCTTGAGACTATTTTAAGCTTGTATCGTGGAACCCCTCTCTCTCCTCAGTATGGTGTAACTTTCTTTCTTAAACTATGAGATAATTTAAGAATTGATATTAAATAGTTAAAATTTGGGTTATTACTCAAATAGTTGATTTTCTTTTTGGCATTCCATTAAAATACATTTTACTGTTTTTAAATTATGATGCATATAATTTGATTTTTTCTATTTATTAGATCATGAAACATTTCCATGTTAAAGGTGTCACTATTTTACTTTATATGATTACATTTTGAAAGGCTGCAAAATATTTCATCAAGTCATACTCTCATAGTTTACCTAAATCTTTTTATGTTAGATACTTATGCTGCTGGCTGGTTTTCAGTTAATACTTTAATCTACATTACTGTAGATATTATGTACTTTTTTCTGACTAATTATATCTCTAGGATAAAGTTTTGAGTACATTATTGTTGACATGGTAAGAATGTTTTTATGGCTTGCCATTCTGTTTTTCAAGAATATTTTACCAGTTTGTATTACTAACAGATACATGGATATTTCTGTTTCACGAAAACTGGACAGAAATACATTTTTCCTTAAAAGTTTTTGCTCATTTAATAGTGTAAAGTGGCACTTACATTTCTTTTTTCTACAATGTTGAATTTTGTCTTTGAACCTCTTCATATTGAATTGTTTGTTCATATTCTTGGCTATTTTATTCAATAAATTATTGATGTGGGCTTTGGATGATAAAGCAAGTATAACCAGGTAATAAACAGGTGATTATTAAAAAGATTACTAGAACACGTTCAGTGAAAATGTTCAAAGAGAGTCTGGTTTAGATGGTAAGTGATCTTGGGAATAGTGTTTGAAAGGGGAATAGGTGCAATTTTGCAGATATTTATTGGGCGTCCACTGTGTACCAGGAGTTGTTGCCTCCTCTGAATGCTTCTCAAGTTATCATCATGGCTTCTACCTTGTTGAAGGAGGAGGCTGCTTGATAATGCTTGAGGTTTGACCTATGGGGACTCTGGCTGCTGAAGACCCTTTGTGGCTGTTTGGAGGGCTGAGGGGATCACTAGACCATCTTTAACTCATTCATGGCAAATTCCACTATGCCATGGCACTCTCCTTAAGCAGCTCTGTTCTGAGGGATACAAAGATGAATAAAACATCATTCCTACAGATAAGGAGGAGTCATCTAGTAGGGAGAATAGGAGCACCAAAAAAATGAAAGGACCAATAAGCATTCGGTAAGTGCTACAAAAGGGGTTCAGACAAAGTGCTTAGGCAGTAAGTGGAGGGAGTGATACTGCCCTCTGGGGATGTGGAGAAACACTTGGCATTTACATTGTACTACTGTGCCAGTCAGAAGCAATAGAAAGAAGAGGGCATTCGGAGGGAAGGATAGCTTGAGCAAAGGCTGTGGGATGGTGTTGAAAATGAGGCAGGAAACTGCATATCCAAATTACCTAGATCCTGGGATACATAAAGGAACACAGTGGAAGGTGAGGCTGCCAAGTGATCAGGACTGGGTTTGGGAGGATCTTAAATGTCAGACTGAGGATCAGTATGATGGATTGGTAGTGTGGAGAAATTAGAAACAGGGACTTTGGTTCATAGTAATACTCCAAGTGAGGGATGATGAGGGCCTGAAGTGAATTGATGGCCTTGGGAATGGAAAGCAGGAGATGGATTTAAGAGATGTTTTGGAGGCTGAACAGAAAGATTTGGTCACTGATTAGAAAGGTAAGGGAACAGTCAGTTCTGTCTCAAGTCAGAGATGGTTGAAGTTTTTATGGTTGGGTGGCTGGCAGAATGGGGCATCAGGAATAGGGAAGTCAGGAGGAAGAACAGGTCTCAGAGGTTGAGAATAGAGAAAGATGAATTGGATTTTGTGTTGAGATTAAGGACCTAGTAGAAAGTCGAAATAAAAAATTTAATCCTTTAGGGCAGCGGTCACCAACCGGTGGTCCCGCGGACCACTGGTGGTCCGTGAGGTCCAAAAGGTTGGCGACCACTGGCTAAGGAAACCTTTGGAGCAACGGTCGCCAACCGATGGTCCGCGGACCACTGGTGGTCCGTGAGTTCCAAAAGGTTGGCAACTGCTGCTTTAGGGAACTGATGAGGAAGTTTGGGGCCCAGAGGCGTTAGATGGGTGGGTGAGGTCTCACACCAGTTAAAGCATAGCCTAGGCAAGCTTCCTGATTCCCAGTCCAGTTCTCTTCGCTGCTTCAGACTGAGAAGTGCTGTAGGTTCTCAGCTGTGGTGTTTTCCTCACACCTAGGTGTGCTCAGTAGAAAGTTGGAAGTGGGAGAGTTTATGTTGGGGAGTAAGGTCTTTATTTTTAATTATATTTTTCTTATGGAAACTTTCAGACATATATAAGTGGAAAGAAGACTATAATCAATCCCACTGACCCATTGTCCAATTTCAACATTTATTAATGTTGTTTCATCTATTTCTCCTCCCCATCAATTATATTGAAGCAAATGGGAGGTGTTCTGGTGACTTTAACCTTTGTGTATTTGCAGGTAAGGAGAATTGAACCGTTTGGTAGGGTATATTTCAAGCTTTCTGGGGTAGGGTCCAGAGTGAACAGAAGTAGGATTTACTTCCAGAATTCCTGTGTTGCCTCAGACTTTGTTTTAGGGCAGATCACATAAGTCCTCTGAGTCTTAGTTTGTCTGTGAGGTGGAGATATCATCTTCAGTGAATCACTTGAACTAACTTAGGTAAAAACCCTCCATGAACTCTAAACTTTGAGGCTAAAGTATTATAGAGATTTTAGTGCTGCTCCTTTGGGCTTCTGTGTTGCTGGCATGAAGTTTATATTATTCAACAAATTTTTATTATTCAACAAATACTTGTTATGTCAGGCCTCTGGGGCTTCAACAGTGAACAAAACAAAATCCCAGCTCTCATGGAGTTATGTTCCAGATCCAGAGGATAATAGTTTTATAGTGATTAATAGTTGTTATAGCTAATACTTTTATAGTAATTAGTGGAGGCCAGGCACTGTTCTAAGTGATTTCATTTTTTAACCTACTTAATTCTTGCAACAATCCTGTGAGGTTTGGAGATGAGACAAATTTGTATGCAGATTGCCTCAGGTCGCAATGCCAGGATTCAAATTCAGGCAGATCTGGCTTCAAGCCTGTACGCTTAACTCCTGTGTCATAGAACATCTTTAACTCAGTAATGGCATACTAGTGTTTGATACAAGTAAAAACGTTAGGTCCAGATCAAAACAAATAAACATTCTCTTCTTGTAAAAGACAAAATAAAATGGAAAAAAAAGGCAGTAGTTCTCTGTGGATAATATTCTTTTATAGAAAAATATTTTTTTTCTTAACTTTCTATAGGCTTCGCCAGTTTCTTTCTTTCTTTAGATACAAATGGTCACTTCAGTGGGAGGCAATTAAGTTATCTTTCTGCTGGCCCTTGAGCAGGATCTCTTCTTGAATGAATTCCCTGCTTGCTTATAATTCTCTTTTCCCCTTCCTTCCACTCCCCCCTTTCCTTACCTTGAGGTAATTCCCTTTTCTGATCTCTCCTACTCTCTGTTCTTCCTT